TTGTGTTTGTTAAACTCACATCAGGAGGAATTTCTGCCTGGAAAGGGTGGTGAGGCCTTGTCAGGGGCTGCCCAGGGAGGTTTGGAGTGCCCAGCCCTGGAGGTGTCCCAGGAAGGCCTGGCCGTGGCACTCAGTGCTCTGGGCTGGGGGACAAGGTGGGCATCGGGCACAGGGGGGATCCATGGGCTGGGAGGGCTTTTCCAGCCTCAGGGGCTCTGGGATTCTGGGATTCACCCTCGGGCAGGGGGCTCTCGGGGGCTCGGAGGGTCAGGTCAGCTTGGGGGACACAGGCCCCCAGTGCCCATCCCCGATCCCACACTGACCCCAGTGCCCATCCCCGATCCCACACTGACCCCAGTGCCCATCCCCGATCCCACACTGACACCCAGTGCCCGCCCGGCCCCGCTGCAGCTCCGCTCCCGGAGCGCCGCCGGAGCCGGGAATTACACCGGGAGTTACACCGGGAAAGAGCGGCTTTGCACTCCCCCGGGAGCAGCCCGGGAAAGCCCGTTCCTTGAGGAATGTTCGTGCCGGCTCCGCTCTCCCCAAACCCCCGGAATGGAAGGACGAGGCAGCGCTGGGGCCCCGCGGCAGCTCCCGCGGCCCCGGGAGCGACCCCCGGCCCGGGGCAGGGACAGCCCGGCAGGGACGGGACTGTCCCCACGGCCGGGACAGGACTGTCCCCACGGCCGGGATGGGACTGTCCCCACGGCCGGGACGGGACTGTCCCCACAGCCGGGGGGGCTGGAGCAGCACCAGCGGGATGTCCGGGCACGGGGGCACTGCCGGGCTCTGCCCAGTCTCTCTCCCCTGGGGATGGAGTGGCTGAACTGCCCTTCTCCTGTAGGAAAGGCTGGGAGAGCTGGGGGGGTTCACCTGGAGAAGGATCCAGGAAGACCTGGGGCTCCAGGAGAGCTGGAGAGGGACTGGGGACAAAGGATGGAGGGACAGGACACAGGGAATGGCTTCCCACTGCCAGAGGGCAGGGAGAGATGGGAGATTGGGGAGGAATTCCTGGCTGGGAGGGGGGTATAACATTCTGATCTGCTCCCCTGCCCACAGCTCTTCAGTGTGACTGAGCAGAGGGGACACACGTGGGTGTCACTGAGCAGCCCTTCCAGCAGTGCCTGGGAAAAGGGGAAAAAAAGGAAACATTAATTGGAGAAGAAATCTCTCTGCCTGTGTTGCTGCTGTTGGGCTGAATAACACCCTTGGTGCCCAGAGCACCCCAGGGAGGTGGGTAAGGGGTTGTGGGACCCCTCCTGCCTGATCTGGGATCAGCAGCACCATGGGATGGGCAGGAGTGCTGGGAGGGGGATCCCAAAGCCAGCCCAGCCTATTCCCTCACACCATAAACCAGAGTTTTTCAACTTTCATTTAAGTAAAGTGGAGCCATTTGTGAATTCACTGTTTGTTTGGGATGTGCCTGTGGAATTTTGATGCAGAGGAAGGAATGGGGTTGCAGAGCTCAGCGCCCCAAAATCCCCCCATGCCTGAGCTGCCCAGGGAAACGTGGTCCCCCTGGTTCCATGAGAGGGCCCTGGCTGTGCCTGCTCCCTTCGTGCTGGGGGCTGGCCCCCAAATCCCAGTCAGGGCAGTGCAAGGTGCTCAGAGCCTCCAGGGCCCAACCTCTGGGGGGTTTTCCTGTGGGCACACAGACCTGTCCTGGCTGGCACAGCACCCTCAGGGCACAGGATGAGTTTCCCTCAGGAAAAGTATTTGTAGGTGTGAACAAAAGGGGTAAAAACCTTTCCCTGAGTGCCCCGAATAAAGCACTGCAGGGCTGGTTTTGGTTTGCTCACAGGGCAATGCAGGGCCTGTGTCTGACCTCCAACAGGCACCTCTTGTCTCCTGGGTTATAAAGCACAAAATATCCCTCAAAAGTGCAATTTGAATGTCTCTGTACAGCAGGAGCTGGGCACAGCCCAGCCTACTTGCCCCCTCCAGCAGCCAATGTCCCTGTGGATCCCTCTGGAAGGCAGCAGCTCCCCAGGGGATTTGTGGAGCACAGCTCACCATGGTCTCTGCTCAGCAGCAGATGGATGCCCTGAGCCAAAGGGAAGGGAGAGGTGGAGGGAGAACATTTTATACTCATTTTTACACTCTCATATTCTCAGAGAGGCACCCAAACCACCCCCGAGCTTCAGACTGTGACCTGCAGCATCAAGGATGCTGAGAGAGTCACAAACCATGGAATGGGTGGGGTGGGAAGGGACCTTAAAAAACATCCAATCCCACCCCCTGCCATGGGCAGGGACACCTCCCACTATCCCAGGTTGCTCCAAACCTTGGACACTTCCAGGGATGGGGCAGCCACAGCTTCTCTGGGCAACCTCACCCCCAGAGCTGCAGATCCAGCCTGGATGGGCATGACCCAGGCAGAGACAGTGGGAAAGCCAGGTTTATCCATCCCACTTATCCCAGTTCCCAGCCTCAGCCTCTCTTCTCCTGCCCATCACTCCCAGCCTCTCTTCCCGTGGCTTTTTAACAGTGATGCTGCCACAAAGGAGCAGGATTTCCATGGATTTTCCATCTGCTGCTGCACAGTTCATGCCTGATGCCCTGCAGGGCGTTATCAGCAGCTGGATTTCATCATCAGGTTCCCTGCGGTCAGCCTGGGCCTCCCCAGAGAAAGCCAGGGGATTCCCATGGGAATGGCATCCCGGGCTGTGCTGTCCGTGGTGCTGGAGCTCGGTGACTCCAGCCATGGGATGTGCTTTGACTTCTATAACTGGAAGATGTTTCTATAAATAATCACCTGACCGACGGATTTTTTATTCTGATCCATCCCTGGAAGTGTCCCAGGCCAGGCTGGATGGGGCTTGGAGCAACCTGGTCCAGTGGAAGGTGTCCCTGCCCATGGCAGGGGGGTTGGAATTAGGGTTTCAGGCTGGTTTAGGTGAGAGGCTGAAGGGGGCTGAGCCCAGTTTTATGGTTAAAAAATGCACCTGAAGCCTCAGCCATCCCCCCCCATCTGTCTCAGGGATGAACAGATGGATATATTTCCCTAAACACCCTAAATAAAATCTTAATATCTTCAAATTCCTAATATGTGCATTGCCAGGAAATGCAGAATGAGCTGAAGTGTTTGCTTTGCTCTGCTCCCAGCATGGAGATGTGTTGGAGTCACCAGGGGATGCTGGAAACCCCCTTCCCTCAGCTCCAAACCACCCGTGGTGTGGAAGCAGGAACACGGGAGAGCAGACACTCCACCTTCCAGGCAGGGGGGGTGAGAGGAGAGGGAGATGAAGAGTATTTTATATCATGTTCATACTTCTTACACTCAAAGCCTCAGGTGCCCAAAGTGCCCCTGGAGCTTTGGGCTCTGCTGCACCTGCTGTGGGGGTCACAGAATCCCAGGCTGAACACCCCCAGCTCTTCCAGGTTCCAGCTTGTCCCTGCTCTGCTCACAGCCCTGTAAACCCTGGGAATCGATATGTTCCATGGATCCCAGTGGGATACCCACTCCCAGGCAGCTTCTCCCCTGGCTGGCACATTCCCTGGAACCGTGCTGATGGCAAGGACAGTGTGGTGCCTCCCTTGGGACACAGGGAGAGGGATTTAATGGTACTTCCCATTCTCTTGTGGTGGTCCCCTTGCTGCCCACAGCAGCTGAGCAGTCCAGGGTGTTTGCTTTAGTCCCCCCAGGAACCTTAAACCACACCTTTAACAGTGCAGAGAGGGATCTCTTGGCTCTGCTTTGTCCTTCAAGGGTGGGGGGCTCTGCCAGGCAAACCCAGGCCCACCTCAGAACGAAATCCCTGCTGCATCCTAATATTGGCAAAGGGCTGAGCAACCCCTCTGCAGGCTGGAGCTGTCAGAGCCAAAACATGGCCCCAGCTGTACAGCTCTGAGCTCCTGGTGTTTGCACTCCCTCTCCAGTTACACAGAGCTCTCAGCCTGCACTCAGCTCCAGCTCTCAAGTAACAGCACGGAGAGAAATATCATTTTCCTGCTTCAAAGCACACAGGGCTGGAATTCCTAATTGCACCACCTAAGAACACAACCTGCCAGACATGGAACTTGTTCTCTCCCCTGAAGAACTGAAGGGAAAGGCTGTTTCTGTTCTCCTTAAACACTCTTCTACTTGTTCTGAACAACTCGACTTGGCATGGGAAGGATTGTCCCTTTCCCCTTCCCCAGGCCCTGGGGTCCCTTCAGTCCCCAGCTGTAACATCCCAACACATCCTTTCCCAGAGAAGCTGTGGCTGCCCCTGGATCCCTGCAAGTGTCCAAGGCCAGGCTGGACAGGGCTTGGAGCAACCTGGGCTGGTGGAAGGTGTCCCTGCTCATTTGCATATTTTCATGAAAATATTCAAGTGTAGAATTCTAAAAAAAACCACAAATAGCAATGACAAATACTCACAGAATCATGGAATGGTTTGGGTTGGGAAGGGGCCTTAAAAAACACCCAGTGCCACCCTTGCCTTGGGCAGGGACACCTTCCACTGTCCCAGGTTGCTCCAACCTGGCCTTGGACACTTCCAGGGATCCAGGGGCAGCCACAGCTTCTCTGGGCAACCTGGGCCAGGGCCTCCCCACCCTCCCAGCCAGGAATTCCTTCCCAATCTCCCATCTCTCCCTGCCCTCTGCCAGTGGGAAGCCATTCCCTGTGTCCTGTCCCTCCAGACCCTTGTAAACAGTCTCTCTCCATCTTTGCTGTAGCTCCTTCAGGACCTGGAAGGCCACAGTCAGGAGCCTCAAAGCCTCTCTCCAGGCTGGACAATCCCAGCTCTCCCAGCCTTTCCTCAGCATGGGAATGTCTCATTCTGCAGAGCAATAATCCACCTTACAGTCAGTGTGCTCTGATCCTGTGAGTGCTGGAGCTTGTGGAAGTGCATTAATAGTAAATGAAAGCAGTGTGTGGGTAAAAAAAAAAAAAAAGATATTTGATCACAAACTGCCTGGAAAAACAGGGGGGAGAAGGGCCAGGGAGCATGGAAGTGTGGCAGGGATGGAGGTGGGAGCTCCACGACCAACCATCAGACAAGTGAGTTTTTCCCCAGGTTTATTTACTAAATGGCTTCACATTCAATGAAATAGTTACAACAAATACTTACAGAGCACAAGAGCAACACCTTGGGAACTACCAAAGACCCCAAAACACCTCACAGTTCTTTTCCTGTGGGACTCAAATGCCACTTGTGTAAACAAGAACAAACTCGGGACGTTGCTGCTGAAGAAAAAGAAAAGAGATGCACAGGTAAAACCACTCCACGGGCACAGACCACAGGGATCAGCTCTGACTCCCAGGCAAACCCTCGGGGCGAGTCCGAGTCCCATTTGGTACATTATTCTCTGTACAGTTATTAAATCCCGCTAAAAATCCTTGGGCTTAAAATACAGCACAGCTCATAAGGCAAAAAAGTAGGAATTATCATCCAGTTCTCTGCATTTCAGGTCAAGAGGAAGAATTTAAGGCAAGTTGGGGCGTTTTGCATTGTTTCATACAGTGGACGGGGACTTACAGATGGGAACTTCATGGAAATAACACCTTACCCCCCCAGAAAAAACCTGTCTGGAATGTGGACTGGACACATTTACCCCTCGAGAAATTCCAACTAGGCTTCCTGAAAGGAAAGCATTCCTAGGAAGAGAGACTGTCAAGCAGCTTAAAGATGAGTATCTCAAAAAAAGCAGAAGTTCAGGAGCTGTTTGTGCACGTATAAACTCACTGCAACCGTTGTAAAGTGCTGTACAGATAAATGGAGAGAGTCAGAACTGGAACTGGATGATAATTTGGAGTTGTTGTGACATCTTAGTTGAAGGTCCTTAATTTTTAACCTGCAGACAGACATTCCCATGAGATTATTGATCTTTAAAAGCAGATTTACACTGATTGTTGTGTCTGATCCTCCTCTACCCAAAGCACTTCAGGGACAGGACAAGCAGCACCTGGATGGGAAATGGGAGTGGCATGATTTTAAGGGACATGATTCCCTAAGAACTGCCCGTGGCAGAAGGTGGGATGAGATGGGCTTTAAGGTCCCTTCCAACCCAAACCACTCTGGGATTTAACAGTCCCACTGCCTGGGGAATGAGAATAAAACATTTGGCAGCTTTAAGTGCTTTGAATGCTGCCATTGAAAGATGTTTATACAAACAACCACCTGACCCATGGATTTTTTATTCTGGTCCATCCCTGGAAGTGTCCAAGGCCAGGCTGGAGCAACCTGGGCCGGTGGAAGGTGTCCCTGCCCACGGCAGGGGTGGCACTGGATGGGCTTTAAGGTCCCTCCAACCCAAACCATTCCATGATTTCTTCTCCTCTCCACACACAAACATGCAAATACAGCCATGCAGCTCCTCGTGTCCTACCAAGAGATGCCCTGGAATAACTAAATCAGGTTATTATTGCTATAACTGGAATCCTTAGTGGGTTAAATCAACAATTTCAGCGTTTTCAATGCAGTTTATATACATTTAAAGTCCTGCTTAATTCTATCAAATCTGAAGCAGACCTGAAGGATTTTATAGTCTCTGCAAAAACCTGTTATTTACGAGCAATGTTTTATGGTCAAACACCCTCCTTGACCAGTTCAATCTGAGTGTCCAGGATGGAAGAACAGGACCAGCTCTGCTTCCCTGGCTGCAAGCAGCTCCACAGGATAAATCCAGTGCACTCAACACCCCCCAGCTCAGCAGAATTATAAAGAAATGGCTTTTAAAGCAACTATTTCAAATATTATTGCACTGTCAAAAATAATACTACGTGGGCTTGAAAACCAAGGGAAAACAAACATTAATTTAACATGTTACAACAAAGGGAAAGGAACTCTGGAGGCAGAAAAACTCCTCAGTACCAGGCCTGGGAAAAGGCAGACAGAGAGCAACACAAATCCAAGGTAACCGTGATCAGAGGACAACCCCAAATAGTCTAAATTAGCTAAAATTCAATTTTAATTCTATTTTAAATAAAGGTTCTAATTCACAGCATTGGGTTCTATCCCTCTGCCCCAATTTTCACCAAGTTCTGGGCTGTCACACAGTGACACTGTGGTTGATCCCAGGGATGACCTTCGGCCTCAGCAGGACCCGGGTTTGGGATGAGCCCTGGGCTTTGACCTCACTGCACTGGTGCTAAAGGCAAAAAACTGTGTGAAGAGCCCGAGCTGGGATCTCCCTGTTTGTGAGAATGGGAACAACAAAGAGATGTGAAATAAAACCCCACTGCAGTACCCAGGGAGGAGCTCGCTGTGTGATCCGGGACAGCTCTGCAGGCACGGGGGGGATGGAGCAAAGAAGGAACTGGAACAACCCAAATGTGTTTTATGCACTGAAACCAGGAACAGCCCCCTTGCCAACCCCACATTTAGCACCATTTGTAGATGGGAACACTCTGAGGAAGCAGATCATACATTCTTTAAAAAAGGAGGGAACACGGACACGAGTGCGCTCGGGGGGAGGAGGGGACGGGCTGGGCTCTGGGGGTTGTTGTGCATCATGCTGGGAATGCTGCTGCTGGGATTTTTCCTTGCATTCCAACTGAAAACACGCAGTAAGATGAAGTCAGACCATCTAGCAGTCGTTTCTCCACAGAAAGAAAATGGGAGGGAAAGTTAAAAATGCAATTTCTCGCCATCAGACCCAAAAACGCCGTGAAGAGGCAAGAAACTTGCCCTGGAAATGTCCCTAAGGAGTTCCTAATGATCCTCCCAGCCCTCCTACCAGCGAGCAGGTAACAAAGGAGAGTGTACAGGCAACATCCTATGGCATTTATTATTTACAGACCTTGAGATACAGAAACAAGGCAGCCCTTGAGTTACTGGTCATAAAAAACCCATGAAGCACTGGCGCTTCCTCCGTGTGCAGCCACAGCCAGGCACCACTCAGCAAACCCTGCACTCACACACACACTCACACAGCTCTCACCCCAAGCACAGTAAACTTCATATTCCAGAGGAGGCAGGAGGAAGAGAGGAAAGCTCTAGAAAGGGTTAGATGGACAAGTTTCCAACCGGATCCCAGGCGTGGACAGTACTCCCTAAACCCCACTGCCGCGGACAGGGGGCCAGCTAAAGCCAGCTGGTGAAGCAGCTTTCCATCCCTCTGCTGCTGAAAGAACAAAGGCCAATTATGGGAAGAAAACAAATCCTCATTTTAATCCCAACCTCGGGAGGTTCCTCAGCTGGCAGCTCCGGGCCCCGCAGCACGGATCGTGTCCAAGCAGCTCCGTCTGGCACCGGTGAGGTGGGCGGGTCCTGCCCCTCCTCAGAGCGCGGTGAGGCCGAAGTTGCAGCGGCAGTACATCATCCCTGCGGAGTCCAGCCACGTGTCCGAGATGGGCTCGTACCTCTGCACCGTGTTCAGGTAGGAGGAGCCCGAGTGCCCCCCCACCACGTACAGGTAGTTATCGATCACCGCCGCCCCGACCCCTGCGGGGGGAAACGCTGTCAGACAGGGCTGGGACGGGCACCTCTGCTCCTGAGACAGGGCTGGGACGGGCACCTCTGCTCCTGAGACAGGGCTGGGACGGGCACCTCTGCTCCTGAGACAGGGCTGGGACGGGCACCTCTGCTCCTGAGACAGGGCTGGCATGGGCACCTCTGCTCCTGGCTGCAGCCACCCCCCCTCCACCTCAACAGGGGGGTCCTCACAGCCTCCTGTCTGGGGTGTCCCTAAAGAAAATGGGTGTCAGGGAAGAGCCCTTTCTGCTCAGGTCAGACACCCCTTTTTTACTGCTCTCGTGCCCTTTCCTGTGATAAAACAATGTTCTGTCCCACAGCACCTTGGCAGGGAGGCAGAAGAGACTGGAGAATAGAACCATGGAATACCCTGAGCGGGAAGGGATCCCTAAAGACCATCCAGTCCAACCCCTGGCCCTGCCCAGGACACCCCAACAATCCCCTCCTGTCCCTCAGAGCATTGTCCAAACCCTCCTGGAGCTCTGGCAGCCTTGGGGCCGTGCCCACAGCCCTGGGGAGCCTGGGCAGTGCCAACCACCCTCTGGGGGAAGAACCTTTCCTTGAGATCCAACCTGACCCTGCCCTGGCACAGCTCCAGCCCTTCCCTGGGTCCTGTCCCTGTCACAGGGAGCAGAGATTGAGCTGCCCCTCGGGAGGAGCTGCAGCTGCACCACAGTGATGCACCCCTGAGTGTCCACATCAAACACAGCAGGACAGTGACCACAGAACTGCTGAAACAGCCTCAAAATCAATGCAAATGCAGGAGGCAGAACAGAAATATTACTCCATGTTATTTTACCTACAGCTCAGTATTAATAAGCTGGATTTAGAGGTAAATAAAGATTCTTTCCCAGAGCTAAGTGACCTTCACCCCCAGATGAAGTGCAGTGCTGTGCAGACTTTAACTGCAGGTTCTATCAGCTCAGACAGGTCATCCCTGACAGGACCCCTGAGTTCCCTCTGCATGTCCCACCTGTCCTGGGCTCCTTCATGGGCCGACACACCGTCCACTGGTTCTGGTGGGGGTCGTATCTCTCGATGCTGGACAGGTGGGACACCCCGTTGTGTCCCCCCACCACGAAGATGAAGCCCAGCATGACCCCCACGCCGAAGTTGATCCGCTTGTCAGCCATGGAGGCCACGGTCTCCCAGGAGTTCTTGCTTGGATCGTAGCGCTCCACGCTGCAGGGACAAACACAGCCTCTGTCACAGGCACAGCCAGCCCTGCCCAGCACAGGAACAGTGAAACACAAAGGCAAGTGCTGGAGCTGATGGAAAATCCCCTGGTGCAGCTGCTTTGCAGCACCAACAGACTGTGTGTTACCACCTCAGAAGCACCAATCCTGTCCCAGGGTCCTTCCACAACCAAAGCAGGTGGAGGGTCCCAACAGGGCTGCCAAAAACCAGTTTTTTAACATATTTTTGTAACATTTTCAGTCTAAGTTTGGACTCCATGATCTCAGAGGCCTTTTCCCACCTCAGTGATTCTGTGATGTTGCCCCCTGACACACTGACTGCAGCTCAGCCCCTCTGATGTCCTCGTGCCACTGTCCTGGACCTTCAGGTCACACCCTGAAACCACCCAAGCTCCCTCAGAGGTGAAAGCTCTTTCCAGGATGTCTGGTGCTAATTTTTTTAAAAATCAACTCGGAAAACTGAACACAATGCAGATCCACAATGCATCTATTTGGGTAACACAGCAAATCAAAAACTTCCTTGAGCTTTGCCTGAAAATAACATTCAGAGAGGAAAGTAGAGAGTGTATTTATATTCCTCAGGAAAAGCAGTAAAAAGGCTGCTGATCCAACACTGAAGGTAGTAGAGGGATTGAATGGAAATGAATTGTCATCATTATTAATTTTTGTGATCACTGGAGCTGTACAGATGGTCAGTCATTAACACACTAGTGGCACTGAGCTGTTCCCTGTCCAAGTGCAGCTCCAGGAGCACAACAGGGCAAAAAAAAGGGGGAGAGAAGATCAGCAACAGCCCAGAGTTGGGAGAAAAGGTGGTTAATTACCCAGCACTGAGCTTGGTTTAATGCCAGAGCTTGTAGGAGCCTGCATGGCAAGGTGTAGGATTCACTCCTTGAGTAATTAATCCAAATTATTCACAGAATCATGGAATATCCTGAGTTGGAAGGGACCCACAAGGACCATCCAGTCCAACTCCTGACCCTGCACAGGCTCATCCCCAAGGGTCACACCCTGTGCCTGAAGGGATCATCCAAACCCTGCTGGAGCTCTGGCAGCCTTGGGGCCGTGCCCACTGCCCTGGGGAGCCTGGGCAGTGCCAACCACCCTCTGGGGGAAGAACCTTGTCCTGAGATCCAACCTGAGCCTGCCCTGGCACAGCTCCAGCCGTGGCACTCGGTGCTCTGCTGTGGAGCACTGGGCACCTTCCGAAGGATTTCCAAGAGAACCCAAACCCACGAGTGAGCTAAAACACACCTTCCCAGCTGAACTACGAGGCTGACACAGCAGAGGGAGGGTTTATGACGCCCACAGGGCACTGAGGATGGTTTAAGTGGAGCTGGCAGGGCTGCCCCGGGCGCGGGTACCTGTTCATGTGCGCGGGCCCGTAGCCCCCGATGGCGTAGATCATCCCGTCCAGCACGGCCGCCGCGAAGCAGCTCCGCGTCTTGGTCATGGGGGCCACCAGCTGCCACTCCTTCACCTTGGGCAGGTACTTCTCCACGGTGCGCAGGTAGGACTGCCCGTCGTAGCCGCCCAGGGCGTAGAGCTCCCCGGCCAGCACCACCACGGCCAGCGTGCTGCGGCTCTCGAACATGCGCTCCAGCGAGCTCCACGTGTTGGTGTCGGGGTCCCAGCACTCCACCGAGCTCTCGTGCTTCCTGTAGCTGATGCCCTGGCACACGTGCGTGGCGATCCCGCCCACCACGTAGATCTTCTGCTCCAGGGCGCAGATCCCGAACTCGTAGCGCGGGATGCTCAGCGGGGCCAGGCCGATCCAGGAGTCGTTCTGCGGGAAGTACATCTCCATGCTGGAACGGGAACACAGGGATCACGTGAGGAAACCCAAATACATCATCCTGGAGAAGTACATCTCCATGCTGGAAAACAGGGATCATGTGAGAAAATCCAGCTAGACTGTCCTGGAGAAGTACATCTCCATGCTGGGACAGGAAAACAGGGATCATTTGAGAAAATCCAACTAGACTGTCCTGGGGGAAATACATCTCCATGCTGGAAAACAGGGATCATGTGAGAAAACCTGACTAGATGATTCTGGAGAAGTACATCTCCATGCTGGGACAGGAAAACAGGGATCATGTGAGAAAATCTAATTGAAGTTGTCCTGGGGGAAGTACATCTCCATGCTGGAAAACAGGGATCAAGTGAGAAAACCCAACTAGATTGTTCTGGAGAAGTACATCTCCATGCTGGAATGGGAAAACAGGGATCACGTGAGAAAATCCAACTAGATTGTTCTGGGGGAAATACATCTCATGCTGGAACGGGAAAACAGGGATCAGGTGGGAAAACCTAATTGGAGTCATCCTAGGGGAAGTACATGTCCATGCTGGACAGGATAACAGGGATCATTTGAGAAAATCCAACTAGACTGTCCTGGGGGAAATACATCTCCATGCTGGAAAACAGGGATCGTGTGAGAAAACCCAAGTAGATCATTCTGGAGAAGTACCTCTCTATGTTGGGACAGGAAAACAGGGATCATTTGAGAAAATCCAAATAGATTGTTCTGGGGGAAGTACACCTCCATGCTGGAAAACAGGGATCAAGTGAGAAAACCCGACTAGATCATTCTGGAGAAGTACATCTCCATGCTGGGACAGGAAAACAGGGATCACGTGGGAAAACCCAACTAAAAACCCAAGGGACAAGAAGGGTAAGTTTAAAGAAAAAAAAAAAAGAACAGCCACCAAGATCAAAGAGAGAAGAGAAAATTAGAGAGGAGGAGACACGTTCTATATTTATGCACAAACATACTCTTGGAAAGTATAATTTGCAGTTTTATAAACACATTTTACGTGCGCTCTATAATTTCAACAAAATGTCAGCGGAGAACAAAGTAACCTGAAAAATGTGTCTTCAAAATGCATTTCCTTCTAATTATACTCAGAACACGGTGGCTTGAGCCTACTCGATATAAAGTCTAGTCAATCCACCTAAATCGCTTAATTAATAAATGACTTCAATAATTAAGAGGCTCTCCAGTAGAGAGGAAATGTGAACCATCCAAGAGCAGGAGGTCCCTGGAGAGCTGACAGGCACTAAAAACCCAGAAGCAGGAGCTGCTGGAACACCAGGCTGGTGTTAGAGAACGTAGACTAAATACATTCTCAGGAATTTTGTTATGAAGAAGCAAAAAAGAAATCAAAATAATCCAAATTACACTGCTAGGTAACACTGTTACAGTCACTGAAGAGGCTGGGAGAGAAGCAGAGCTGAAGAATATCAGAGGACAAGTTTATTCACTCAAACAGATTTTATTTATGAAGCACAAAACCCCCTTTATTTTTTAAATCTATAAACCTAACATGTAGTTTAATGTTGGTCCCTATAAATTAACTGAAAAACCTTAAAAATTAAATAATTTTGACAACCTCTCTGAACACAGGGAAAAGGAACATATGGTTCTTCCCAGGTTTTTAAGGGTATATTCATATCAGCAAACGTGGAACTGTCATGGAAAAGAGTATCTTGGAGTGAACATCCCAGAATCCAGCTGGGGAACCAGTTCAGGCAGTCCCTGAGCACAGGGAACATTCATGGAGCTGATAAGGGCACTCAACATCAAAGCACTTTGTGTGTATGCACATATGTATGTATATATATTTGTATAAATGGATATAAGCAGACACACAGACAGTTTAACTCCCAGTTCTGGAAATGTTAATGCCATGTTCAAGCAAACCCAGCCACACCAGTTTGGGGAAACAAAACTATTCTTCTCTCTGTTACAAATCCTTCTGCTCCCATGATGAGCCTCAGGGATCTCCCCAGTGATGGAACAGGAGGTTCCTTCTGGAATCCAGGGAAGAGAGGATGGGCACCTACCTGCTCCTGCCAGCACAGACAGGGCACCTACAGACTGAAATCAGGATTGTATCGTGATCAAGAACCCCTTCCCAGAATCCCTGAGGTTGGAAAAGCCCTCCCAGCCCATGGATCCCCCCTGTGCCCGATGCCCACCTTGTCCCCCAGCCCAGAGCACTGAGTGCCACGGCCAGGCCTTCCTGGGACACCTCCAGGGCTGGGCACTCCAAACCTCCCTGGGCAGCCCCTGCCAAGGCCTCACCACCCTTTCCAGGAGGAAATTCCTCCTCCTGCCCCACCTGAGCCTCCCCTGGCCCAGCTGGAGGCCGTTCCCTCTCCTCCTGTCCCTTGTTCCCTGGGAGCAGAGCCAGAAGACCCCCCCTCCTGTCAGGGAGTTGTGAGACCAGAAGGTCCCCCCTGAGCCTCCTTTTCTTCTCCTTTGCTCTCCTCTGAATAAGTCTGTTTAAATTCCAAGGATTTTTGAGTTATCAGGAAGCATATTAAGTTAATTTTTGTGATTTTTTTTGAATAATAATAAATCAGGGGAAGATCACGTAAAATGAAAATACCTGAAATGATAAAGAAGCAAGACACAAACTTCAATTAACCATGTTATTAACTCAATCAACAGAATGAAAATGATTCCACAGCTATGTGTGTTGGCACAAGCAAAACCCTGCAGCACTTCAGGTTACTCATGAAATACAAAAGCATTTTGAATTGTGCTTGTGCTTGTTAAAAAAAAAAAAAAACCTGCTTAAGAGTTCTTATGAAGGAAAGCAGCAATTACACCCTGCAAATATGGGGGGACTTGAAGGTCTTTTCCAGCCTTGATTACTCTGAAATCACAGCTGTGTGAGCATGTTACACAAGGAGTGTGTTACCCTGACCTGGGGTGATCCCAGTCACACATGGTCACCACCCCCTTGGCCACTCTCCAGGCAGGCGAAGAGCCCTGGGGTGATCCCAGACACCATGGCCACCCCTCCATGTGGCCATTCCTTACCCTTCTAGGCAGGCAAAGAGCCCTGGGGTAATCATAACCTCCATGGCCATCCCTCCCTGTATCCCTTCCTTACCTCTCCAGGCAGGCAAAGAGCCCTGGGGTGATCCCAGACACCATGGCCACCCCTCCATGTGTCCATTCCTTACCCTTCTAGGCAGGCAAAGAGCCCTGGGGTGATCCCAGACACCGTGGCCATTCCTGCCTGTATCCATTCCTTACCCTTCCAGGCAGGCAAAGAGCCCTGGGGTGACCACAACCACCATGGCCACCCCTCCCTGTATCCACGTGGCCATTCCTTACCCTTCCAGGCAGACAAGGAGCCCCGGGGTGATCCCAGACCCCATGGCCACCCCTCCCTGCATCCCTTCCTTACCTCTCCAGGCAGGCGAAGAGCCCGGCCTTGCCCCCCACGGCACAGAGCACTTTGGGGGCGCAGCGGGGCCGCGTCATCAGCATGGTCTGGTGGGACAGTCTGTGCTCGGGCATGAAGTGGTACTTGAGGGCCTCGTTGAGCAGGTGCTTGCAGGTGTGGTCGTCCCGGATGAGGTGGTTGGCCTCGTAGAGGCGCGTGAGGAACTTGACGCTGAGCAGGGGCAGGCGCACGCAGTGCAGCAGCTGCGCCAGGTGCTTCTGGCGCTCCTGCACGTCGTACTTGATCCAGGACTCCAGCGCGTAGAACACGCTCTCCTCCGTCACCACGTTGAGGCAGTCGTTGGACACGATCTCGTCCAGCTCGGCGTGCGTGAGCTCCAGGAACTCCTCGGTCTGGCACACGTCCTCGAAGTTCTGGCAGATGTACTTGTTGGCCGCCAGGTACAGGTCGTGGCAGCCGTAGGTCTCGGCGAAGCGCGAGATGCCGATGCAGTTGCCGGGGTCCAGCTGGCTCTCCAGGAAGGCGCAGCACTCCTTGACCACCAGCTTCACCTGGAGCAGGTTGGCGGCGGGCAGCAGCGACTCCACGGTGTCCTGGGAGATGAAGACGGTGCCGGTGTAGGCGTACTCCACGATGGCCTGCAGCGCCGCCTCGGCCACGCACTGGAACTCCACCTCGGCGTTCTCCTTCTCCGACAGGTTCCCGGTGAACATGGCCTTGAAGTAGGGGCTGATGCTGGCCAGCACCACCTTGTGGGCGTGGATCTTGGCGTCGCCCACGCGCAGCACGACGTCGCACAGCTCGCGGTGCTGCCGCAGCACGTTGAGGCCCTGCAGGAGCTGCTCCGAGTGCAGCGGGGTCAGCTTGGCCAGCAGGTACGGCGGGGACGACGGGTCCATCTGAGCGGGACACAGGGACGGTCACTGGGGCTCCACCCCACACACGCGTGCCACGCGTAACATTTAACAAGCACTACCATTTCTGCCTTTATCTGATCAGGTTCATTGATCCCCAGTTCACCTTTCCAACCCTCACGTGCGATGCTGTTTCACGCGAGTTAAATCCAGGACCTTAACAGCCTGTGCCAGATCCATCTCCACATCAAAACCACAACTCAACCATCACTTTTTTTTGTTATGGAGTGAAATGCCTGTTATCTGATGCATGGACTACGTGACAGGATTCTACTGAGGCAGCCTCAGTTTGGGTACTACAATATCAGAGGGATCTAAAGCTGCTGGAGGGTGTCCAAAGGAGGGACATGAGGACGTGAAGAGCCTGGAGGGGCCATACAAGGAGCAGCTGAGGGCACTTGGGTTGTTCAGC